CTTATGGAAATGTATGCCACTTTCAATCATTTGGAGTTGAGGAATGACGATACCATCAACGTGCAACTAATTATTAAGTAAGTTGGTGAAATATTGATTTGAAAAAAATAATAAAAATTAAATTAAATTAATGCCAAACAATTTACTCCATTTAGGCTGCTCACCGATGTACCTATCAAAATACGGCACTGTGTCATCATACTGACAGATGGCACACACTTTTACCGATTGCCAGCTAGTAAATGTAAATCATTCCAGAGTTTGAGCGAAATGCATGCAAATAAAAAGCATAACGAGCAGCAACAACAACAACCGGAAATTGTAATACAGCACTTCGATCCGAACTTGAAACTAGAACCGCATCTGTACTATCAAGTGCATTTCTATACCGAGGCGTATCAATTTTTGGAAAACACGCAATTGCGTGTGGCACGCATTGAAGCACAAATGGGTTCGGAAAAATTGACTGTACATTTAACAAAATCAGCATTTTTTGCACGCCATCCATTTCGTCATTACAGTCGTAGCAGAGATCTGGATGATAATATTGAAATTAATCAAGTGTGTTACATTACTCCCACGTAAGTTGTATCACAAGCCGGAAAATTGTAATTTTCCGTATTTATTTATTTATTTTTTTTTTAAATGGCTTGCAATTTTTTTTTAGATTCCATTTGAATACGCAATGCAATGTAGACAAAGAAACGCAAATGCTAGTGAACGAATACTATCCGATAGCGACGACGATAAATAATCCGTATAATGTTTTCCTGCAAAATGTCAGTCTCAACATAAGCGTGCCGAATACTTTGCGTAATCAAGGTAAGTGATGAATGATGATGATGAAAAGAGAGTATAATGACATCTATTTTTGATATACAACATTTAAATGTTTAACTCAAAATAAAAAATTCTAACCTATATAGTAAAATGTAAAAGTAATTACTAAAAAGTCTTAGCATTAAACCTAGGATAGACAGTAAACTGATTCGAAAACCAAAACCAGAAACGTTAACTTCCATTACCCTTAACAAATAACAAAGATTTTCATACAAGATGAGTTGATTTCGATCGTTTCGTTCGATTGCCTTGTAATTATAGTTGCTTGGGACAATGATTCATATCGACAATTTCGTGAAGATATCTCGTCAATTAAAGAAGCTTTCCATACAAGAACTTAAATTTCATTCTTCACCGTCTATATGTTATATTACTCCGATATCGAAAGTTTCGACAAATGAACAGCTTCTCGTTAAGAAAACGTCATCTGTAAAGTTTTAGCTCTGAGAGACTAGGTTATATGGTATGCAAACAGACGGACAGACATGCGTGGTTAAATCGATTCAAATTGTCATTGTTTCTTTCCTAAAATTAATCCACTTTCTAAAGATAAAAAAATCGTTTGACTCAAATTTTACACAAATGCTTAACTCAACTCAACTTTTAATTTAATTCCTTTTTACTAATCAACTAGAGCACACTTTGATATTATATTTGACCCTGAACTTCATACTTTAAAAAAACTACAGCTGTAATTCCTCAACAAAGCAGACATTATAAACAACAAGTAAAACATACGCTCATCAACTTTTTCCAACTAAGAATTCGGTTAAATATTTATTGCGGTAAACAAAACAATTTAAAATAGATATTGGCATTATTGTGCCAATGCACGGTTGATAAATCTCCGCACCGTCGGCACACTCGTATAGATACCAGGATAGTTTCGACGTGCACAGCCGTTACCAAACGAGACAATGCCGCACACACGTCCATTGAATATCGCCGGGCCACCAGTGTCACCCGAACATGAGTCTCTGGTCCCAGGAACACCAGCACAAAACATGGACCTTGTCAGAGTTTGAAGTCGCCTATATTGTCTTCTGCATCTCGCTTTTCGTATAACCGGTACAGTTATTCTACGCAAAACATTCGATGCACGATTACTATTTTCCGAAGACGTACCCCAGCCAAAGATTTGAAGTCTTCGTCCAGCAATTAACCGAGTATTGCACAGGCCAATGGGTTGTGCAAAGGTGCCATTGATAGCTGCGGCTAACCTCAATACAGCCACGTCCATTCTGTTATTTACTCTCGTGAATATACGCGGTACGAACGCTCTTGAGACGCGGCGTGTTATACCCACCTGTGATAACCTAGTGGTATTTGCATGTATAACGAAGCCAGCGCGTCTCCTGCCTCTGATACAACGTGCAGCTGTCAGGACGTGAGTTGTCGATATCAAAGTGCCACCACATTCGAAGTTGCCATTGTAACGGATTTGCACCATATATGGTGCGCGTGCAATGGTCGTAGTTTGACCACCAACAAGCCGAAGAGTTGCATCAGTTGCTAATGTTGTTCTGTGGCATAACCACATAAACATGAAAGCAGAAATTACTAACTTCAAGTGCGTGCGCGACATTGTAGTGCTTTGCGTTGACTCTGATTGACTAGCAGCCGAAGTTTCCTTAAATTGCGTTAGGTGCGGAAATAATCGCCTACTGGAAGTAGGAACTAAAAACTACGTTTACATTAAATTACGAAAATTAAGAAAGCGAATGTTTTAAGCTATAAAGTTTAGCAATCAAACAACTGTTTTTGACAATACAAAGCTCTTTTTGATTTAAAAAAGATAGCTAAATATTTGCTAGACAATATCTAATATTTACTCCAATTAAATAATTCCTTAGAACGTTGTAAAAACAATTCAAATAAGATATTTTTATATTTTTCAAACGATGTCATAGTTCTTTTTCATTCACCACTCTTTAAGTAAACGTTGAAAACAATAAAAGTTAAATGAAATATTCTTTATGTACTAAATTATTAAGTTACATATTTGCTTGTTAAAAATTAGACTTTAACACTTTTTAATATTGAAATATTGTACAAGTCTGTACCTCAAATATTTAATTACTCACGCTTGCTCAAACAATGAAAAAAAAACTATTGATTTACCTACGCATGTCCAAATAAAGAAAAAAATATTAGCAACAACTTTTTGAAACAGCTGACCTCGTGTAAAAATCGCTTCATATACTACCTCGATGACAATTTAAGTAAAAATGAAATTTGGAAAATGAAATACAATAGCCCTGAGGTTGTTGGTGGTTGTAGCGGCAGAACTCTGCCGGCCTCAGATCGCCGATAAATTATGTTTCCTTTCATTTTTATTATTTTATATTTTTCAAATGAATTCCAACCTAGTAGGATTTTTTTATGTTCCACTTTGTACCATTTTCAAAGGCTTCTACAGTAACCTAGCTAGGTATGATGTTACATATCCGTTTTCCTCACATAAAAGAAAGAATTTGATTATGTTGCAAAATAGAAAACAGAATATAAAAATAGGGACTTTGGTTTTATATGCAGTTGTTTGTCTTCTAATTGGTCTCATATTTATCCCATATTTGTCCAAACTGTGAATAACCAAATCGCTAGCTCTCAAGATCGCCATCTGCTAGAACTATGTTAAGTCCTCAAGCTTTCATTACTTCTGATTGTTTTGTGCACATATGCACTTAGCACTGAGCAAGCGATCTGCAGTTTCGAATCTTAATTTAGTTACTTATTAAATTAAATGCACTCACCTGTAATTATTTTCACATTGTTTGCTTATCCTAAGTTAATGATTATAACAAAATTTTTATATTTTTTTTCACAAACACCCACACCTCTTTTCTTTTGCTCACTTGTTTCACCGATCACCACTCAGCAATTTTGCTTTCATAGACACACACAAATAACCCCTGGATTAATTATATAATATATTTGCTTTCAATGCAAATCACTCAATATTATCAATACATTTAGATATAAACCGCACTTAAAATAACATTTAACAGAAATTAACAAAATTTTATTTTAATTGTCAAAAAATAGTCTAAACGTTTTCACTCGCGCCAACGGAAACTAACTGCAGCCAATGCAAGGTAGCCATAGCTAACTGTAATTAGAGTTGCATTTCCTTTGAAATAAATTTTAATAGTCTTGAAGCAGAATTGTTTTTTTTATAATTTAAAATTAATATTTAAAATATTTGTTAAATGATTCATTAATGTGAAAACCATTTTTCAAATTGCGTGTTAATGCTAAAAAAATCGCTAAATTCAAATAAAAGACCAAAACAAACCATCAAAGCAAATCGAAAATATAAATATATTTACATATGTGCATTTTTATACAAATTTTATATATTTATAATATTTTTTAAATAAAAGTGTGTGTGTCTAGAATATATACAATCTTGTAATTAAAAATGTATTCCGTTAAAAATATTAGACTATAATTATAGAGCTTATTATTACTATTATCTTGTATGAACAACTTTACACCGCAAAGGTAACCCTCTGTTATGTAAAACTTCCGCCGCCTTTTGAACAGTTCCGATTATGTTTCGGAGCTGTGAGTGTTAAATTGTTGAACATTTTGATTATATCACACAAATGTGTTTTTAAATTTAGTATTTTCTTTAATCTACAATTTTGTGATATATTTTCATTTAAATATCAGTCAAAATAATCGGTAATCAGTGTTTAGCAAATCTTTTCTATGCGTAATTTACTCAATTACCGATGGCTAACGAAGGCATACGAATAATAAAAGTCTAAAAGTAATGGCTAAAACCATAATTAATAGTACAAAATATATTTAAAAGAAGAAATTTTGCCTGAAATATTGGCATTGCAAATGAATATGTGAGTTGCAACCGGTAACAAACGCTCCGTAGGAACAAAGTATAATAACAGCCGCGACATCTATATGTAAGTAGCTAAAATTGAATGTATTGCAACAGCTGTGACAGATTGAAAATCACATAAATTTTGAACATGTATTGAAATGATAGTTAACGGAAATACGCTTTGGTTCGCCGAAATTTAAGAAAAGAATGTCGACAAAATCACAAATGTTTGGTAATATTGCAAATAAATTTTATTCGGTGAAACACGTAGATACATAAATATGTTCGTACGAATATTATATTTCGAAACTTCAATTTATTGGCAGTGTAACATTAACAGTTGTTTCACAAAAGCATTTACACGTCGACTAGCCACATTGGTATAAACACCAGGATACTCTTTGCGTGCACAACCGAAACCCCAAGAGACAATACCACATACTCGTCCATCATACACGACCGGTCCACCAGAATCACCAGAGCATGAGTCCCGTGCACCCGGTATGGTGGCACAGAACATCGTACTGGTTAACAAAGCCTTACCCAAATATGCCTGCATACAATCACTCTTGGCAACAACACGTACAAATGTCGTACGCACTTGATCCGGTGGTTGATTGTTATATTCACTGGTTATACCCCAACCACTTATTTTCACAAACTCCTCACTGGCAGGCTGTTTATTACACAAACTAATTGTGGAAATGTTTGGTCCACTCAACGGCTCGTTCAATTTCAATATAGCCACATCCATATCTAGTGTTGAGGTTGAATAGAATGGCGATACAAAGTGCTGCTCCACCTGACGCATAACACCAATTTCGGATAGTCGGCTGGCGCCTGCGTGCACCGTTAAATCCGCCGCTGGCACATTTTTCACACAGTGCGCCGCGGTGAGTACACAGCGTTGCGTTACCAGTGAACTGCCGCAAATGAATTGACCACTACGCCGCAAATTCAGCAAATATGGCACCTCGCCGATAGTAGTCGGCTGGCCACCAACTATTTTCCCATCCAATAGTGTGGAGAATGTGTGCGCTGCACTGTTTGAAATAATTTGCAAAAATACCAGAATAAATCCTTCAATATGCGGAAAACGTCTATGCAGCGCGAAATACATTTTTCAAATCCGTGTAGAAATTTGTATTCGGTCGTTGGCTGCTAGTAAATAGCCTGTAAATGTCACTTTAAAAGCAAGTACTATTGAATATGCATATAATAACAGCAAAGTATTATTTCGTGATTTTTATGAATGGAAGTTTTCCGATCCTTTGTATTGTAATGCTATTAGAGACACGTGTTGAGCAATCCAACCATATTAAATATATTTACTTAGCGAGTTTATAAAATTATACCAATTTAAATTGTCTATTGCTGTATATTTATATTACTACAACTAAAAGGGGGTTTCTCTTTATAAATTATCTCGTTCGTTCAGCGGCCGTGTAGTGCATTAACTGCTACACATTCGAAAATTTAAATAAATAAGGTTCCGATATTTTTAAATTAACTCCGGAAATTGAAATTAAAATTTTTTCAAAAATTTTGTATTTATAATTTATTTATCAATAGTAAAATCAGAATTAAAATGTTAAATATAAATTATTTGAATATCTCAGTTTGCTGACCACTACTCTAAAGTATTGAAGATGATGGATCTGTACGAACTCTTGTTAAAAGTGGTAGAAAACGATATATCCGAGAACGAAAAAGGTAATTTCAAAAACCTGCAAGGCCTGAATCGAAGCGAGATTGTCCGCATAGACTTTAGACTTTACATATTCCCTCATGAAAAAGTCCAAGAGTGTGATATCACATGATCTTGGTGGCCAATCAACCGGCCCAATAATAAATCTATGTAGCACGTGGCGCCGTCTTGTTGAAACCAAGTATCGGCGAGATCACGAGGTTGATGGTAACGTTCTCACGGACATTATTTTTGAAGAAATATGGACCTTTGATTCCACCGGCTCCCAAACCACTCCAAAACGTTTTTTATTTTTATTAATTTTTTTATTTTATTTATTTTATTTTATTTATTTATTTTTTTTTTTTGATGAAATGGCAGCTCTTAAATCTCTTCAGGTTGCTCATCATCCCAAATGCAGCAATTTCCCTTGTTTATACACTTATTAAACCAGGAATTAATATAATGCTTTTTTGGTCATCGAGCAGTGCACACGTTGTACTTCATACTATACTTGCCCCTGAACTTCATGCTTAAACAAAACTGCAGCTGTAATTCCTCAACAAAGCAGACATTATAAACAACAAGTAAAACATACGCTCATCAACTTTTTCCAACTAAGAATTCGGTTAAATATTTATTGCGGTAAACAAAACAATTTAAAATAGATATTGGCATTATTGTGCCAATGCACGGTTGATAAATCTCCGCACCATCGGCACACTCGTATAGATACCGGGATAGTTTCGACGTCCACAGCCGTTACCAAACGAGACAATGCCGCACACACGTCCATTGAATATCGCCGGGCCACCAGAGTCACCCGAGCATGAGTCTCTGGTCCCAGGAACACCAGCACAAAACATGGTCCTTGTCAGAGTTTGAAGTCTCCTATATTGTCTTCTGCATCTCGCTTTTCGTATAACCGGTACAGTTATTCTACGCAAAACATTCGATGCACTATTACTATTTTCCGAAGATGTACCCCAGCCAAAGATTTGCAGTCTACGTCCAGCAGTCAATCGAGTATTGCACAGGCCAATGGGTTGTGCAAAGGTGCCATTGATAGCTGCGGCTAACCTCAATACAGCCACATCCATTCTTTTATTTGCTGTCGTGAATATACGCGGTACGAACGCTCTTGAGACGCGGCTTGTTATACCCGCCTGTGATAAACTAGTGGTATTTGCATGTATGACGAAGCCAGCGAGTCTCCTGCCTTTGATACAATGTGCAGCTGTCAGGACGTGAGTTGTCGATATCAAAGTGCCACCACAATGAAAGTTACCATTGTAACGGATTTGCACCATATATGGTGCGCTTGCAATGGTCGTAGTTTGACCACCAACAAGCCGAAGAGTTACACCAGCTGCTAATGTTGTTCTGTGGCATAACCACATAAACATGAAAGCAGAAACTACTAATTTCGAATGCGTGCGCAACATTGTAGTGCTTTGCGTTGACTCTGATTGACTAGCAGCCCAAGTTTCCTTAAATTGCGTTAGGTGCGGAAATAATCGCCTGCTGGAAGTACATAGGAAGCAACTGTTCAAATAATCTATACTAAAACTAATATTAAATTAGGTAAATTAACAGAAAGAATGTTTTAAGCTAAAAACCAAAACAAACCGTTTCCCAAATGCGACAACTACGCAAAATTCTGCTCAAAAACGTCGGATCATCTTGGAACTTTTCAAGAGCACATACAGTGAAGCGATTACACTTAGGAAGGTCGTTCACCTTGCAAAAACTGTTAAAGCTGTAGTTTATAAGCTATCAACGACTTTCACGACGTAAAATGCGACAAGTCGTTCTAAACGTCAGTCCGAATAGTTGCGAACGACGCCGAATCGATCCTCCACCGCCTTCATACACACTCTCAGCTGCGACTGTTATATTTACATCAGTGCGTGCTGAACGTGGTCTTTTCGGTCGAATATTATCGTATAATGAATGCTGGGTCTCAACAAATATAAGTGATGGTGTTTCGAATATCAGTAAGCTGATTATAATGATCATAATTTGAGCAAAGCGTGGGAAAAACATTCTTTACAGAACGTGAATTTTCGAAATAAAGTTGAACGATTTTTAAACTTTGTTCAAGCGTAAGTATTTCCATGATGAAATGCAAAGCAATACTGAACAAAAAGTAACGTGACAGCTTGACACTACACACGCGTAATCTGTTATTGATAAAAATAACTACTTGGATCACCCGTTATAAACTTTTTTATTTGACACGCTACCTGAAGCCGACTCAAAAGATTTAGTCATAACTGCTCAACCCCTTTGCTCCATCACAAGGCGCACTACGGCGTACTTTCTGAACAATGACATGTCATGGAACAGTCCTACGACTGTGATATCGTAATTTTAAACACCAATTAACAATGGCTCCAAAAAGTCGGTAGTTTCGAAGAACTCCATTTCCTTTGTTAGAAGTCAAGCCTTAGCTGATAAGTGCTTTATTTCCAGCATACTAAACGTTTTATAATGCATACATACAATGGCGGACAAAAGTCTACATACACCTTCTATTTTTATTGATATAAGAATACAAAATGTTTTTAAAAAAAATTTATTGGTACAGGTTTATTCTAATATTTAATCTAATAACAATAAACTAAAAAAAATCATTATTTAAAATAAAGCAACAAATTTATGGAAGAAAAACCCAAAAATTACGTTGACAAAAGTCTACATACAGTACGATGCTCATACTTTGTGATTGTTATGATAACGTACCGTTACCTTTTTCTTTCATTTCATTATGTTTACTGTTTAGTATTTATTGAATTCAGTTGTGGTTTGAACACTTGAATAGGTATAATGGCTCCGCGAAAAGAAATATCAATTGATGTAAGAAATTTGGTGATAAAGCAAAGGAAAAAAAATCATACGGTGAAATTTCTAAAATTTTAAACTTCAGTCGAGCGACAGTACAAACAATCGTAAAAAACTTCGAAAATAGTGGTTCCACCGAAAATAAACCACGCAGTGGCCGCCCAAGAAAACTATCTCGTAGAGACGTCAGTCTGATCCTCAAAGAAGTAGGAAAAAATCCAAAAGTAAAAGCTCCAAAATTAGCCGAACACATAGCAAGTACGTCACAAAAGAGTATCCATCTAAGAACAATACAAAGAACTCTAAACGAAAATGGGTTCCACAGTAGAACACTACGGAAGAAACCATTTATTTCTGAAAAAACCGGAAACTTCGTTTAGAATTCGCCAAAAAACACAAAGACAAGCGGATGGATTTTTGGGAAAAAATTTTATTTACGGATGAATCTAAATTCAACATTTTTGGTAGCGATGGAAGAGCTAGAGTTTAGAGAAAAAATAACGCTGCGCTAGAACCGAAGAACTTAGTGTCAACTGTGAAACACGGTGGCGGCAGCGTAATGGTATGGGGAGCCGTTGCGACCTCTGGAGTTGGAAAGTTAGCCTTTATTGAAGGTAAAATGGATCGTTTTAAGTGTAAGTGTCTGTTGGAACATAATTTGAAACCTTCGGACCTTCGGTTTCAAATTTGGGGCTCGGTTCCGGTTGGATCTTTCAACAAGATAACGATCCGAAGCATACGGCGCAAATTGTTAAGGACTGGTTGCTTTATTACGCTCCAAGGCAATTAATCACTCCACCTCAAAGTCCAGATTTGAATATTACTAACATGTCTGGGAAATTTTGGAGCGTAAAATTAGAAAGCACCAGATTTCTAGCTCTGCTATACTCAAAGAGCGCATATTAGAAGCTTGGAACAGCATAACGTCTCCAGAGTTGACAAAGGGTACACCCCCTGTCTTGTCTACCACTGTATGTATAATAAGTATATCGATTATTGTCAAGCAATAACAGTATTGTCAACAATAACAGTACTTATGGCAAAAACATACAATTCTGCTCCACTTCCTGCTTACGCATATATTTTAAGCCTCACGACAGGCACTTGGATCTCTTGCAATTGTCGTGAGACGACGCCGTTTTCTTTGGTGTAACCATGACCAATAACCAAGCAACTCGTACCGACAGCCACCGCGCTCTTATGCAATGTTATCACCGATGCACTCGGTATGGCAGAGGAGAGTATCAACACCGCTACATCATAATTTAGTGTCGCCGCATTGTATGTTTTTGAAACCAGCGCGTTCTTGATCGTTCTCACCACTCCAGTGTCGCCCAAATTAATGGTGTCCGCGTGTACGCGCAGCGCCTTCACACTGAGGTCCTCCACACAGTGCGCATAGTAAGTCACTGGCACAACTGAATGCGTTCCCGAGGGCGCGTAGTGCTTTTATACATACACACCTTATACATCCGTAGGGTTTATCGAAATCGACGTTCGGATTTTTGAGTGCATCGCTGGGTTCTCGCTCAGTTTTTCAGTTCATACATGACTTATATGAAAAAATTTCGGTACCCATCAGTCATCAG